CCGGGCTGTCCGGGTTGTGGGGGGTCCGAAGTGACACCTCTTGGGGGGTCGGAAGCGACCCTGTTTCCGCATCTGAGCGAATGTCCTTGTCGTGCCCTGGGCAAAAACATTTTGAACACATCCAGGTCCTTTGATCAGGCCACGCCTTTCAAGCTCGTATCTCTGTTCTACCGCTCCTTGTGGAAGCGCCTTTTTGTCGTGGTGTGTTCCATCAACAACGTGACCGGTTGACGTATGCTGTGAGCTGTAGCAAGTCGTTGCCAAAGCAACGCATGCTTGGGCGTGACAAAAACAAACCTTGCCGACCGGTTCAACCCCATTTTCAAAGGTCAGCTGTCACAGGGGGATGCCACGGGGGATACCATGGGGCGGGTTTGGATTCGCGAGTGTATAGTGTGTATGTAATCCCTTCCCCCCTAACACTAAACAGACATTGGGGCTAATCCTCCCAAGATCATCTCTGCCTTTTAAAACCTATTCTGAATAGAGCACAGTAAGAGCAAGAGCAGGAGCAAGAGCAAAAGCGGGCGCATCAGCAAGAGCAAAGCAAAAGCAAGAGTGGGAGTAAGAGCAAGAGCAGGAGCAAAAGCGGAGCAACAGCAAGAGCAGGAGCAGGGGCAAGAGACGCAGCAGAAGCAGGAGCAAAAGCCAGCGTGGCAGCAAGAGCCAGAGCACGTCCCCTCAAAAGTGGCAGTAGAGACAAAAATGCCCGCTATATAACAGTAAAAACACTTTCCGAGAATCTATTGGGGGGCCCCCTTTCATATTAGGGGGAAGGGATTATGTACTTCTCTATATGTATATGTGTGCGTACGAATGCACATGGAGAGACAGATCGATCGAATCAGAGATATAGGAAGACGAATAGCTAAGTGCTGCGTGTTCGCGTTCATCCCGATTCATCCGAGTTTTGAAACGAAAGGTAGAGGAAAGAACCGGTGCAAGTAGAAATACGGAAAGAAAAAGCATATGACATATGTAGTATATGCAATGCAGGTATGGCTAAGTATGGATGAACACATACATTCATAAATGCATAGATGCATCCATGTATACATGCATACATGGCTGCCTGCCTGCCTGCGTACTCATATTGCCACCCTCATACACGGGCACAGCCATGCAGACGCAGACATGGGTAGATGAGTGGTAGACGCATTCAATGGCATTTCGACAGGGTGCGCTTGCAGCAGAAAACCGCAGGTGCACTGAAGGCCTTCGAGTTGAAGCGGCAGCAGAGCTAGATGCCGAGTCGTCCAACACGACCTTCGGCAAGAACACATCCCGGATGTAAGGCGATTGTGAGTTGACAAAATAGGACTTCGGTCAATAAGTCATTACATGATATATGGGCTTCCGAAATTATAGCATGACCAGAACCTGCTATTTCCTGCCTACACAGCAGTAGAAAGCATCGCTTCGCTAAGGCACTGTGCGAAGCTGCTGCTGCGGTCGGCAACGATGGCACTGCCTGGGTGGCCAGCATGAAAATTCGGGATGACGGGCGACGAAGTCAAGGATGATGGTGGGGACGATGCGACGAATCGACGAAGATAGTCAACATCATGACATATTATGACGCTGCCTACTGAGGGAGAGTAAAAGGTCTGGCTGCCACTAAGCAATGCAGCAGCAGTGTCCGATCATGCTCCCTGAGCCGTATCCGTCATCACACTGAGCACGAGGAGCCGGTGTCGACTTTTTGCAAACCGGGCTAAGATGGCTTGTGGTTTGGCGAAGGCAACTTTCTAGGCGAGGCTGTAGAGCTGAACCAACCGATGGGCCGATGGGCTCACCGTCGAAAGCACTATGGTAGAAAGAGGTCTCATGGGCATACGGATCCCAAACCTGATAGTACCCTTAGCCCCCTTGATTAGACTTCCCACGGCGCCATGCTGTAACCTCAATTGCCCGGTCTCCGTGGGACAGCCACGCTGTGCAAGTGGCAGGACAGAGCTGTATAAGAGCAGTACTACTTCCAAAACTGCTGATACGCATCATACTACGGAAAGCTGGGCATATCCCACTTCAAAGGCCTCGGACAGCCACATTTCCAGCTGCCACCAAGAAGCTGGCAAGCACTACCCCTGCTGCAGCCACCTGTCACATCGGCTTCGACTCGCACACTCGCACAGGGCAGGCAATGCTATCTCCACTACAACTTAGGGCGTTTGGGGCTATGCAAGGCTTTCGGGTTTAGGGGCTTCGGTGCTTCGGTGAAAGGTAGCCCTGCCTGGCTGCCAGGCTTCCATGCAGGGCGCTGCGCAGGTAAGAGGGTGACCAACGGTTCCCACAGATGACATCCTTCACAGATTTCAGTGACATCGGAAGCTTCGCCCAAGCCTCATGCTGAAAAAGATCCCTGCTATTCAAAACAAGCTTCGGAACTTGACGATCAGGGCGACGAGTCTTCGGGTTCACTTGAACCTGACTACAAACAGCAGCTTGGTAATCTGTGAACTGTATCTGTGCTCGTGGCAGTCTCCGCTGCCTCCTGCTGTCGACCCGTGTCGCTTGCAGGTGGAACCTGTGTGCGAAACACACCGCCCTTCACAAGATGCCAATCTCCAATCGGCAGCTCTTTCCAGGCACGCGCTGCATTCACTGTTGCACAGGTTTAGTGACAGTGCGGTTTCCACAAAAGACTGCCGAACCTGTTTCCCGACCCAGAAGCACTGGTGGCAATTGTTGCACGACTGCCTCAGCCACTTGTCGTTCTCTGCACAACCAACCACGCGGCTCGACTCGGTGCGCAACCCATCACGACATCCGCCTTTGCGCTTCACATAGCGGCAAGGAGGGCCACAGCACCTTTGACATCCAATTTCCAGAGAGTCAGGTCTTCTCAAGGCCAGGCCCTCCAACCGACACCAACCCCGAGGAAACACCACGGGATGACTTCGACAGGTAGCGGGCTTCGGGATCTTCATGGGCAAAAGCAACATACCAATGGGATATTCTGACGAATAGTAGTAGAAATGGTAATCTTTCATGAATCACAGCTGGCCAGAGGTAGCACGGCATAACACAGGTGACGTCTTGAGGCCCGGACTCAGGGTGCCCAATGGTCCCCCGAGAGATCACCCTGGTTTGCGCTCTGGTGCAAGGCGCCACCGACTGTGGCGGTCTTGCCTGTGATTTGCGGAAGCAGATCAGATGCACCGGCTTGCCGAAGGAAAACTGATTTCATCGCGGCAACATGATATCACCACTGTTCTTGTCATTACTACATACACTGTATCAGTCTGATTTTGGTAAGCTGTGACAGTACTTGCATCGTGCGGCAGACTCAGAAGGCCTGTCAGAACTTCAAACTCTGGGACTCTGGGCTGCCGGCTGTCTCCGGCCGCGGCACCGGATGAGGCCTTGCAGATAGCTGCACTTGCAGCATAGTGATCGGCTTGAGAATGTGAAAGTAATGATGGCTTTCCAGGCATCTCCGCTGCATGTCTGTGAGAGTCAACGTCCCTGCCAACTTTATCAAAGCTCCGGACTGCGGTGGTGGCAGCAGGAGGTCCGATTCCTGCTCCCGGCGATGCTGACAGATCCAATTTGCTTGGCAGCAGTTTGCAGCAAACGCTGCCTTGGGCCGTTGAAGCTTTATGGTGACTTTGTGCAAAAATTGGCAAAAAGTACTACGAGCGTAACGAACTACGGACGGCTTCGATTCGTTGAGATTGAAGATGAAGACTGCGAGAGAACGAGACAGAGATTGAATGTAGGGGCGGGTATATATATATAGACATACATACGCACCACCTGTTAGTCTTTGCCAGATTGCTCTTCGAAGCCAGCGATGCCAGCTAACAGGTGTCTTTCTTTAGTTGGCGGCTTTGCAATTCGCGCCGTGAACCTCTTTTGATCAAACGGCTTCGGCGCGGCCGAGGCGCTCTTAAATATCTTCAGGTCAAAACTCCAAGCCATCCCGGGCCAGCGCAGCAAGCATACAAACTGATCCTGCAACAGATCAGTCCTGCCCCGCTTGTTCCTGCTCAATGTCAAAGAGCTTCCTGGGTGACTGTCTCACTCCCTCGCACACGGCCCAAACGAATTCAGGACATGCTTTGAACTTCAACAGGGTCTTCAGCAAAGCCCATCAGCCGAACACGGTCACTGTCATGTCCACAATTCAGCAAAGAGGCTTCCCCAACAGCATTTGAGCATGCTGATCTAACCAATATCCAGGTTCTTGGCTGCGAAAGGCAATGGGGTGAGGTAGCAGGTAGAGGCCTCTAGGCGCGACAGCTAGCAAATTCCGTCTCCGCAGGGCATTTCTTGTCAACAAACAGTGCATGCCAAATTCACGCTGTGCACTCAGCACTCTAAGCTTGCTACAACGGCACGAAATTTCGAAGCACCTGTGTGACCAAGTCACGCTGGCACGACGACGGCATTGTGCGTCACCCACCCTTCTCCGACAGCTCCTACTCCTACTCCTGCCAGTCCTGCTCCTACCTACGCGTTCCCGCTCCTGGCTCCTGCTTATTCAATGCCTACCACGACTACGATTACGCTACGACTACCTACGCCAACAACGATGACCACTGCTCCTGCTAGGCTGCCGCTGCCGCCACTGCTGCTTCTACTCCTGCTGCCGCTGCTGCCGCTGCT